GGAAGGCTGACGTTTCGGGCCTAGACCCTTCTTCAGAAAATTTTCCGAAACGTCAGCCTTCCTGCTCCTCTGATGCTGCTTGGCCTGCTGTGTTCATTCAGCTGTACACCTTGTTATCTAAAATGTATTTCAGATGAGTATCACAGAATCAGCTACAGAGTGGAGCAAATTCAGAGAATTTTTGTATTTGACTGTAAATATGGCCCAGATGTCTTTTCTAATTATGTCTCCACTTTTCTCCAGGTTGAAATTTCTCTGAGCATGCAGAATACATCGGGTTTGTTCAAGGTCAGCACTTCATCAGGCTGGAGAATGGCTGACCGATGCTTATCGAGCATAGGATCTCCTGCAGTCAGGACTGGCCTTTACCTCTTTATAATGGTCATCATGGCAGCAACTTTGGCTGGAAATTTCCTTGTGGTTCTGGCTGTTGTCTACTTTAAACAGCTACGCTCAGCGACCAATGCTTTTGTGCTGTCACTGTCCATAGCTGATTTCTTCGTTGGGATCATGGTGATGCCCTACAGCATGAGCAGGACAATTGAAGGATGCTGGCACTTTGGGCCGACCTTCTGTCAAATCCACTCAAGCCTGGATGTGATGTTCTGCACCGCCTCCATTCTTCACCTCAGTTGCATTGCTCTTGACCGTTACTATGCCATCTGTGATCCTCTGGTGTATCGTTGTAAGATGTCGCCCAGCAGGGTGGTTGTTCTACTCCTTGCCTGCTGGGTGGTGCCAGCTGCAATATCCGTTATCCCGATAATGTTGCAGCTACACAGATTAGGTGTTGATCCTGATTTGCTAACCAATAGGAGCTGTGTGCTCATGGTGAACCAGACCTATGCTATCTGGGCCTCTCTTATATCCTTTTACCTGCCCATGGTGGTTATACTCGTGGCATATTGGAAGATTTACCAGGCAGCTAGAAAGCAGGCAATTCAGATTAATGCTATGGATAACCAAGTCCAGGGATATGCTTCAGGCTTAGCAACAGCCCATGTGCGCAAACAATCCAATAAACGGGAAAGAAAGGCAGCGAAAACACTGGGGATAATTATCGGCATATTTCTTTCCTCCTGGTTGCCCTTCTTCATGGCAAACATCGTTGACCCTTTCCTGGGTTACAAGATAGACAGAGGGACTTGGGAGGTGTTGGTCTGGCTTGGCTACAGCAATTCTTCCATGAACCCAATTCTCTACGGGGTTGTAAACCGGTCCTTCCGACGAGCATTCCTGATCATCATCAGCTGTAAGATCTGTGTTTCCCGATCTCTGCAAAACATCGACTTATCCAACAGTGAGCAAGTTGCCACGTAGGAGATAGTACCCACCCATTCAGTGCACCATACGTGGTGAGGATTTGTGCCCTGTACCAGCTGTACGGTGACAGGGGTCAATGGTTTACAGGATCCATGTGATATTCCGCTGTCTGCCACTGGAACATCCGTTATGTTTTTCTTCCATGGATTAACCTTCCTTAAGAAGGGATATAGGAGAGCTTCTTGAAGCTTTTTTTAACTTCAGGTGGTTTCAATGCAGAAGGTAAACGACATAAGAGATTGGGAAGAATTTCTCTCTTTGCTGGCTTAGGTCTTGCAATACTGGGAGTCAAGTGATGGACCATCTTGCTTTGGTCCCAGTTACTGGCACTGACTAATGAACTAGCAGCTTTAGCAAGTGGCACAAATAGTCAATGAAAGTTTTTTGACAATGCATTCATGGGATTTGGGCATTGCTGGTTGGGCAGCATTTATTGCCTATTCTCAGCTGCCTTTTGAAAAAGTGGTGGTGAGCCATCTTCTTGAACCGTCGCTGTCCGTGTGCGGTAGATAGGTGGGAATTATGGGAAATTGAGTTATGGGAAAAAGTTGGCCTATTGGTGTTATCATTAGACTATTAATTCAGAGACCCAGGTAATGTTCGAGGGACCTGGTTTTGAATCCCATCGTGGCAGATGATGAAGTTTGAATTAAAAAAAGAAAGTGTTACTGAGAGTCTGATGACTATGAATCCAGTGTTGATTGTCAGGAGAAACCAATCTGGTTCACGGATGTTCCTTTAGGGATGGAAACTGCCATCCTTACCTGGTCTGGCCTGCATGTGACTCCAGATGCACAACAATGTGGTTGACTCTTAACTGATTCCTAGACAATTAGGGATGGGCAATAAATGTTGGCCTGACCAGTGATGCCTACATCCCATGAATGAACTTTTTTAAAAAAAATTCTAGGATTTTGATCCAGTGACAGTGAAGGAACAAGGGTATATTTCCATGTCAGGTTGGTGAGCGGCTCGCAGGGGAACCTGCACAAGGTGGTGTTCCCATGTATCTGCTGCCCTTGTCCTTTTTAGATGAAGTGCTTGTGGGTTTGGAAGGTGCTGTCTCATAAAAATAAAAGACTGGAGAAATAGAAATGGGCTGCTTACTGCCAATTATTGTTTGCCTGATCAGGCAAAGTCAAGATCTGCCACACAGTGTCAGACCATTGCTTATGTATGTGATTACATGGCTTAGGTGAATTGGGAAGATTGTTCCCTGATCTATGTTTCTTACAGAATCGTAGGCTTTAAAAAGGTGAAATGCTAAATGCCATGTTTTGAAATTTTCGACCATCTCTCCACACAGTATTGGCACACGCATCTATGTGAAAAATAAAAAGATTAAATAATAGACTAGATATTGAAATCTTACTGTCAAGGCGGAACAGAATAGGTAATTTTTTAATAAAACAAAGAACTGTGGATGCTGGAAATATGAAACAAAAACAGAAATTGCTGGAGATACTCAGCAATTCTGGCAGCATCTGTGAAGAGAGAAACAGTTAATGTTTCGAATCCAGTCAACCTTCTTCAGAACTTCAATTCTGAAGAAGGGTCTCTGGGCTCAAAATGTTAACTTTGCTCTCTCCTCTTGGCTAATTTGTTAGCCTGCCTGGGGGCACTTCACACCGATTTTTGTTGGAAAATCTCTGATGTTTGGCAGGTCAGATGTTTCAGGCTGAGGCTGTTCCTTCTCATTGTGAATACTGAGCAATAAAAACAGGTGCAGAAACAACTGAATCAGAGATAGTAGGAACTGCAGATGCTGGAGAATCCGAGACAACAAGGTGCAGGGCTGGATGAACACAGCAGGCCAAGCAGCATCTGATGCTGCTAGGGCTGGATGAACACAGCAGGCCAAGCAGCATCTGATGCTGCTAGGGCTGGATGAACACAGCAGGCCAAGCAGCATCTGATGCTGCT